CACGAGAGCGGCTCGGATTCAAAAGGCAGCACCCACCCGCCCAGCGGGGCCATGGCTCCGTCCCTCGACTGCCCACCCACGCGGCGGACTCTAAAGATGCCAGGAGACTGATAAGAAAGCTCTTGAAACGCGATCTTCTTGACAGAATTGCTAGAAAGCTCTAAAGACTCATTTCCATCTTTGGAAGGCATACAGCAGTTGTCGCACAAAGACTCAGCACGACGGCAGCGGCTGAAGGTCTGCTGGTGGCGGTCCATGTCGATCATAGTGAGATTAGAAAACTATGAAGAACGTTTAGCGAGTGCTATTAGTTTAAGGTTCGCAACACGAAGAGCAGTAGGGCTCAACGAACCAGAGGAGGTGAATTTTGAGAATGATCGCCAAAGAAATGAACCTCCCATATATCTGGCTCACCTTGAGCCGAATGCAAGGGGTGGTAGGTTTGTTGGGGCTGGAGGGGAGGCTTGGCTCGGTGCTGGTCTGGCTGGCTTGAGTTCTGCGCTGTCGGCCCCCGCAGCTTGTGTCGTCTCACCCCACACGTGTCCGCGGCTCCACTGCCGGAATGAAGCTCATTGGTCGGGTGACAGGAGCCCACAGTAAACATCAGTTGAGGTTGCGAAGAAAATGTTTCCTTTTGTCGATTTCTGTGGAATCACTGCCGCTAGTTGACGGATGATAGGAAAACCGCATTGAGGACAACGGTCCGAGCTGCGACATCGAGAAGTGAGCGGTGGAAGACCGGCTTACGTTCAAGCTCCGACATCTATCATAATTACAAAGGCACCGCTCTGGACATTCTTTGGAAACAGCGTTCTGCCCAGACGATTTCTCGAAAATTCGATTCTACGTGCCAAAAAATTGATTTCTTAGCTAAGCTAAGAAAAAGTGCGTGACTGTCCCAATCAACTCTGAAGTGCACAGGCTCCGATATTCGAGAATCCAGTTTTCTTGGGTGCAGCCACAAATATTTCAGGAGTACACCAATTACGGGGTACATCCTTCCTGAACCAAAACCCTGCTCCCAAGCTCGTAAGCCGGCCGGTTCAGACATGCAATGATGGTCCGGCGTACCTTTCGTTGATGTAACTGACGGCTGTAACCCAGAACTTCGCCACGTCGTCAAGGAATTTGTGCGTTCCGCACGACTACCATATACTAAGAGCGTGTCTGAAGTGAACGTCGACGTTTCCCGACGAAACTTTGAGGGATGTCGAGGAATCCTGACGGTCTGAACGCTCGATCCGAGGGTTGGCACTCGCCGACATTCCTCGACGAAACTGTACATTCGTCGACGTTTTACTTCAGACACGCTATAAGGTACACCTACGGCTGTGCATTTGTATTCGTGGAGACCTCGATGGCTGGACTGTACTATTCCACTATCAGAATAAGTATATGCACAGAATAGGTGTACTGTAGCAAGACTCCCAGTGGCAGGAAAAGACCGCATTGTAAGTCATTATGACTGCATTGTTTCATTATCAACAGAGAACCTATACAAATTTGTGGAAATAAGCAATACATGCAGCAATGCAAGCTGTATAAACATATCAACAGCAGGAACTTGGATTAGAGGCTTGGTTTGGCCTGTTGTGAAGCTGCATGCCAACAGGTTGCTGTGGGGGAGCTCCCTTGGGTAGCCTTCGTGCTGCATACACATACCATTGAAATGTCAGAGATGCAGTAAATATGCAGTTAAACCACAAATGCTAAACACAGAGAAGCGGCACTGACACTGGAGATATGTGCATGCACTGCATACCTATCTCGTAGAAAAGTTCGTTCACATTCGTGGCTGTTTTGGCGGAAGTCTCCAGAAAATAGAGCCGATTCTCTTCAGCATACAATTTTCCCTCCTGATTCCATGCCCAAAACCAATGGTCAAAGTTAATAAAAACACATGGTTCCATTGTGACATTGACATGAAATAATATACAGCAAAACAAACACGGACACAACAATTCGCCAAATTCATGCTTATGACAAGCAGGTATCCCCATCTTTCATCCAGAACATCCCATCCAGAACCCTGATTCCCTTGTCCCTCGTCCTCTACCCTTCCCTCTAACACTCACCTCCTCAGAAACCTTCCTCTGTGCCTCCAGGTCCGTCTTGTTCGCTGCCAGGGCAATCACCAGGTTGGGGTTACCTGAGGGTGGCGTATGCAGGGCGCGCAAGGACAAGGGAGAGGACGGGTACAGCTTTAGGAACGGATGATGGGAAATTTGATGATGGACGAGAACGGAACAACATAAGGGAGACATGCTACAGATGTACGGGGAAACGGGGAAAGGGATATGCAGCACAGAGACAGGGGAAAGAGTTATGGAGTATGAGACTGGAAAGGGCTAAAAGTGGTGACATGCTCGGCGCATCAACTTGGGCACTCAGCGGTGCTCATTGCAAGCTGACTGAGTGTAAACACGTACCTTGCCGTTGAAGCTCCTGCACCCACTTCTTGGCTCGAGCGAATGAATCCTGAAGAAGCGCGTATCACGCACCCACACATGCCATGCATCCCATAAGCCATGCGCATACAAGTCAGGAACGGCATTGCGAAACACATGCAAGCAACACGACCAGAAAAGGGAGGGCGAAGTAGGTCACAAAAAAAGGTTCACATGAAAGTAGCCCCGACTCCTGGAAACCAGAGCCGCAGCAGCAACAGCAGCAGAGCAAATAAAACCAGGCCCAGCGGCTCACGGTGCTGGTAATATCGTAGACGATAATGGCGGCCGCGGCCCCGCGGTAGTACATGGGCGCGAGGCTGTGGTAGCGCTCCTGCCCGGCCGTGTCCCAGATCTCGAACTTGACCACCGCGTCGCTCACCGCCACCGTCTGCGTCAAGAACGCCGCGCCGATGGTGGACTCCTGCGGTGAGGGGCACGGCGGGCGGAAAGATAGGATTGGAGTGAGATGGTGGGTAGGGATTGTAGGAACGAGACACGCCCTAGAACAAGGCGGGTGAGGGTGGCCTGCCTGATAAGGGTGGGTAAGAGACGGAAGAGAATGCGACGGACAGTAACGGAGCGAAAAGACACACGGAACTTGGATGCAGCACGAGCCTCTCAGTTATGCGTGTCCGAGTGCCGTGCGCAACCCGCACCTGGTACTCGAAGAATTGACCCTTCACGAACCGCAGCACGAGCGACGACTTCCCCGCGCCCATGTCGCCCAGTAGGACCTGCGCGCGGAGAGCGAAGAGCGGGGAGCGATGAGGGGAGCGAAGAGAAGAGCAATGAGGATAGCGAAGAAGAGAGTGAAAAGAGAGGGGGAGAGGGGGGGGAAGGGGGGGATGTCGTCGACTGGAGATGGCGAGATGGCAGGGGGTTACCCTGTGCACTCTAGACTGTCAAAGCAGTAAATTCTTTGAAATTCTGGAGTCCATGAGCTGTCGCCTATTTTAGCTTGCAATTCCGTGGGCTGTCAATGGCTTTCTAGAAAAGTTGGGGGACAGGAGCAGGGTCTGCCGAGAGCGTCCTCGACGGCTACACCACGACAAACCGACAATGATAACTGTCCCTGTAAGGAACGATGGATGTTGTAAGGAAAACCAACTGCGGTGGCGAACTGTTGCTTCCGTTTAAAGACGCTGTCATTAAATAACGGCTCGCTGCTGTCTCTGTAGCTCACCAGTTTTGCTTGCATAGTGGGAGCAGCTGGGGCAGCCATGGATGGGAGAACACAGGGAGTGAGGTAAAATCGTGGTGTTTACAAGAAATGAAGTCCAAAAGAGAAGAGAGATATCTGTACGTGACGCTAACGTATCTTATAACCGAAACGACCGAGGAAGGATGCGCGAAGAACGGGAAAAGTGTAGCTAACAAGCACCACTGAAAACTAAAACTAATGACAAGGCAGCGGTGGTGGAGTAAAAATTCGAGAAGCTAGGGTTGGCCTCAGCGTTTGACTGGACTGAGTTAGGGCGTATTCCTGGACTTCGGGTCATCAGCACTTCGGGCCATCCGAAATTGTGGGATCCAATCGGAAATTCGGAATCAAGAGATTGGGGTGCATTTCAATTTTTCGATTGGATCCCACAATCTCGGATGACCCGAAGTGCGGATGATCCGAAGTGCAGGAATACGCCTTTAGGATCGGAGAGGAGTCAACAGCAGCATCCCCCAGTTTTCCAAGTTCCGTGTGCAGGCGGATGATCCCATATTCCAGTCCTTGCTATCACTCACACAGTTCAGAAACTCTGGGAAACGTTCATAACCATTCTTACCACCAGTCACCGACGACTCACATGAGGCACGTAGCAGGACACATTCATCGGGCGGTGGATTTCCTTGTGTCACGTCTTCCGCGCGCACCTTTCTTGGCTTGGTACTGCTCTGCATCTTTGCGCCCGCATGCTCGCTCTCTTAGGATCCCGCGCGTCACCGAACCGAACCTATGAAACATGTGTCAGCGCGCAGAAAACTCCCCCACGTGTAACCTCCCAGGCGAGAGGAGTTGTCAAGGCGGCCCTCGGCAAAGCCCCGCGAAGAAGGTTTCGCGGGCCTCTCCCTTGGAAAACCACTTCCCTGCTGCGGAATTCATCGCTGACGTCACGCTGTCAGGTGGAGCAAACCAGCCCAGCCTCGCGCACGGATTGGCTGTATGTTTGACGACCAATGGCACACGGCCGATGAATTCCAGCGATGCTGTACCTAAATTGATTAGATGTCCAACCTAAAGTTCTTGAACTATCTACCGAAATACAGCTATAGAAATGCAAACTTCTCCGTATAGTTCATCCGCGTTATGACGCATTATACATAGCAGTTCTGGATAACAGACCTTAGAGATGGTTCAGTGGTTGATGAGGTCCATCCGAAACTATGGCAGAATCGTGAAACTGAATGCTCCCCGCCCTTGGGATGACAAGCAGCCTATTACACCAGTTTAGTCACTTAGCAACAGCCTGTTTCTCCTCCAGAATACCGAAGTAGCCAGGCCACAGCTCCACGCGCTTTATATGAGTGTTAGAAGTTCGAAAAAAATAGTAGATTGCCATGTGGAAGGGGTTTCAGGGCCTGCAAGCGGTCGTGAAGGAAGGTTTGCAGGAGCTGGGCCGCGATGCGCTCCGCGAGACAGGCATGATCAAGGAAGCCGTTGCGCCTCGGCTAGCCGGGTCGGGCATCTTGGGATTGGTTGGTGTGCAGTCGGGAGACGAGCGAGAAGGAGAGGGACGAGAGGAAGAGGAGGAGGAGGACGGATGGGGTCTGGAGGACGACGAGGAAGAAGTGAAGGTTGACGAGCGAGTCGCGTCAGGAGAATCCGAAGGGCCAATTCCCTTGTCGTCGCATCCCTCCGCCTCCGCGCTGGAGCCCTCGCCTGACATAGAGCCACGTGGGGAATCCTCGGACCACCCAGGCTTGGCTGTCGCCCCCAACACGAGCCTTTCCTCGCCGTCGCCTCGCGAGGACGACCTTCCCGTTACCGCGTCGTCTCATAGCGAGGATAGCGGTAGCGGTGGTGCGGTTCCCGCTGCGCTGCCAGAGTCCAGCGGGCTCATGTCGTTTCTGGAGCCCGCGCACGAAACGGACGCGCAGATGTTGCAGCCGCGCGCGGCGGAAGAGCGACCGGACACGCCCGTCGGTGAGAGGGATGACGTGGCAGGTGAAGAGAGACGGGGTGGCGATGCGGCCAGGGGAACGGAATCAGGAACACCCGCTTCCATTGAAGCTGGGAAACAGAGATCAGAATTGCCGGTGGAGGGTCGAGACGCGGGTGAGGCGGCCGCAGGGTGGGAACGGGTGGCTCCTGCGGATGGGCAGGCGGAGAGCGCGGGTGGGGAGGGACTGGGTGGAGACGAGGGTTCTCCAGAGATTGGGTTAGCGCGCGGGGATGATGGCCCTGGGGAGGCGGGAGGGCACGCGCAGGTGGCGGCAGGCGGAACCGCGGACGGGGAAAGCGGGGATCGCCCGGCGGCGAGTGCTGCTGGGGTTGCCAGCGAGGAGGTGGGAAAAGGGGGAAGCGAGGAGGAGGAGGAGGATCGGAAGAGCAGCGGGCGGGAGGTGGCGTCGCTGCGGCGACAGTTGGCGCAGCAGCGGGAGGTGAGCGCTGTTAGGGAGACGGCGCTCGTGGAGGAGCTGACGTGGATGAAGGGCGAGCTGACGCGGCTGCAGGCGGCAGCGCGGGAGGCGGAGAAGGGGAAGGAGGAAGCGGAGAGGCGGAGAGAGGAGGAGGAGCGGAGGCGAGACGAGGAGGCGCAGAAGCTGAGCGCGGAGAGCGGCGCGCGGGAGAAAGCGCGGCGGAAGGCGGAGGGGGAGGTGGAGCGGCTGCAGGTGCTGTGCGCGCAGCTGCAGGCGTCGCTGGCGGAGGCGGCGGAGGGGCGCGAGGCGGACGCGAAGGCGCGCGAGCAGATGGCGCGGAGGGTGGAGCGGATGGAGGACGAGCTGGAGGCGGAGCGCGTGAAGGCGCGCAGCCTGCAGGCGGAGATGGCGGACGTTGAGGCGGGCGCGGACGAGGAGATGGGGGAGCTGGAGGAGCGCGTGGGCGCGCTGGAGGCGCGCGTGGCTGAGCTGGAGGCGGAGAAGAAGGGCATGGCGCGCGCGGCGGAGGAGGAGAGGCGCGAGTGGCGAAGGAAGGTGGAGGCCGCGGAGGCCATGTCGAGCGCTGCTGCTGCCGTGCATAAGAAGGACCTAGAGGTGGGCAGAGAGCGAGGCGAGGAGCAAATGTGAGAGACAAGGCGAGATGGCAGTGAGAGAGGGAGACGGACGAGACAGTGGATGGTTGGGTTCAGGGATGGTCAATGCGGGAGAATGCATGGCTTGGGTGGGTGGTATGTCATGTTGAGGAGTCGGTTGGAAGGGGGATTTGGACTGAGGAAGTGTGGCATTTGTGGCTTCCTCCTGAGTGTGTTTGTGTTGGGTGTCTGTGCATGCGCATCTGCCCCTGTTTGCCATGCCCATGTGCCCGTGCATCCATGAATCATACCCACCCGTGCCAGGCGGTGGAGAGGAAGCGGGATGCGGCGCAGCAGCAGGTGCAGAAGCTGCGAGAAGAGGTGGCAGGAGCAAACAAGGCGCTGGCGGAGGCGAGGGAGGCGGTGAGAGTGAGTGAGGCGGAGAGGGCGGAGCTTGAAGAGGTGGCGGGGGAGAGAGAGGCCAGCATGGAGGCTGCTCGCACCCAGCTCACTCACCTGCAGGCCGAGGTGCGTGGTGCTTAACGCACCCATCTGCGTCCTTTGCTCCTCCCTTGCACGCATCCCGCCATGCTCTCCAATCCCCATCCCTCCTCTCACCACTCACCCTACGTTGGAAAATACGTCCTTGGGGGGTGGACGTATTGCGTATATACGCTGGCGTATATACGAAATACGCTAATACGCCTAAAAATCGCTAAAATACGCCGGGGCAGCCGGAAAAAAATAATAATAAAAAAAATAATTCAAGAATTGGCGACGGCGAGAATTGAACCCTCGACCTCGCACAGCAACCAACCCCTGACTACAATTCAAAATTCAAAATCCAACCTCTCCCACATCCCCAACCACACACCCTCTCAATCTCCCAAACCCAACCTCCCCCCTTTCACTCGTTCGAACATCTCCTCGATCCCTAAACAGCTCATCTTTCATTCAATCCCGCGTTTCTGTTCTTGCATTTCGTCCAACTCTCGTCGAGCTCGAACTCTCCTAGCTTGAGTACTTCCTCGCCATGGTGACCTCTACTCCCTACAGTTTGAGGGCGGAACCTGCCCGGGAAAAAGTTTTACCTGCCCGCCCAGCGTATTTTTGCGTATCAGCAGTACGCCAGCCATGGCGTACCGCGTATATACCCAGCGTATAATACGCTAGCATATTATACTCGATACTCGTATTTTCCAACATAGCACTCACTCACCGTTCCTCACTCCCCCTCCTCCCATCCCCCCTCCACCCTCACTCCAACTGCCCCTCAAACTTTTTCCCGCCCATTCCCTTACTCTCCCCCTCTCCGCCCTCCCCCCTCGCTCCTCAGTTGGAGGTGGCGCGGAGGGAGGCAGCGGAGGGCGGGGTGAAGGTGGCAGAGGCGATGGCGGAGGTGTACGCAGCGAGGAAGGAGGCGCGTGCGCGGGGCATGCAGGCCGAGGAGACCCACCAGCTCGAGGTCAAGCTCTCTGCCGCCACCGCTGCTGCTGCCAGCGCAGCGGCAGAGGCGGAGGAGCTGAAGGGGAAGGTGGCGGCGGGGGAGCGGGAGGTTAAGGAGGTGCAGCGTGGGCTTGCTGCTGTGGAGGCTGAGCTGGCGCTGGCCAATCAGAGAGTGGCGGAGGCGGAGCAGCAGGCCGAGGAGGCCAAGAGGCAGCGTGCGCAGGTGGGGGGAGGACAGGGGTGGTCCGGGAGGGAGGGAGGTGGGGAAGGTGGAGAGGGAATATGAGAGGCTGGGGAGGGGGGAGTGAGGAAGGAGGAAAGCATTGATAGCAGCTTGGACTAGTAGTAATGTCATGAGGGCTGTTGCTTTGCCCTCTCGTTTGTTGCTTTGCCCTCTCGTTTGTTGCTTTGCCCTCTCGTTTGTTGCTTTGCCCTCTCGTTTGTTGCTTTGCCCTCTCGTTTGTTGCTTTGCCCTCTCGTTTGTTGCTTTGCCCTCTCGTTTGTTGCTTTGCCCTCTCGTTTGTTGCTCCCCTCCCCTTGCCTCCTCCTGTGGTTCGAATCCCCACATCCCCCCTCCGCACCTCCTCTTACACCTGGGCCTGCTCATCCTGGGTGTTGTGGGCAAACCGTGCCATGCCACGTTCCTGCATACATGCATGCATGCATGCGAGCAGGCGGAGGGCACGAGTGAGCAGCTCAGGGAGGAGACGGAGCGCCGTGCCAAGTTATTCAACGCCGCTGTCAAGGCTGCTGTCAGCAGGATACAGTCGGTGAGTCAGCAGACGCAGGCGATGAGTGGCCACCAGGAGCATGATATTGTGGGTGAATCACATCTCCCCATCGTGCTCCACCATTCCCCATCACGTCCCATCACGTCCCATCACATCCCATCACGCTCCATTCGCCTGCCTCATCTCCCTCCCCAACAACATCTTGCGCTCCTCACAACACCCCCTGTGCGCGTGTGCACCTGTCTGCATGCCTGTTCTCAGGAGTTGGAGGAGGAGCGGGACGAGGCGTTGCAGCAGGTGCAGCAGCAGGGGGAGGCGATGGAGCAGATGAGACAAGACATGCGAGCTCTGGAGGTGAGACTCACAGGGCTGAGCGATAATGCGTTACACAGGTGTTGAGGTCGTGCTTGCACTGCCGTGATCATGACCTCCTTGCACCCAAGTTTGACTCTTGAATGAGCTTCCACTCTTCTCGTCTGTTTCTTGATTGATACGGAGCACCATGCTCTCCTACAGGCTGTTTCTAGGAATGACAATCCTCCGCATCGATCAGTCCCCCGTTTTCTCCTCCTAAACCCCTTACCCGACTCCGTCCCCCCCTGCCACCACAGGTGCGGCTGGTGGAGGTGGAGGGGGAGCGGGCGGCACTGGAGAAGAGGGGGGAGGAGGCGGAGGGAAGGGAGGTGCATCAGCGGGTGGTGGTGGAGCGACTGAGGAGGGAGGTGGAGGAGGGGGAGGGGCGCGTGAGAGCAGCAATGGCGGAGGCAGAGGGGGAGAGGCAGGCTGGCAAGCAGCTGCAAGGCAAGGTGAGTGCGAGTCACGACATGTGGCTTAACCGTGCCTCTTCTCCTTCGAAATCAACTCGTTCTTGACTTGATCAATTGTTGATAAGTGAATCGCCTGCTCGATTCTGGCTAACAGGGCGTGTCTATCATTCCTTTTGAGACGTCTCAAAAGATGTCTATCATTCCTCTTGAGACGTCTCAAAAGATGTCTATCATTCCTCCCAGACGCCTGCATGCCTTTGCACCTACCGCTGCTCGGCATTCATTACAATCCCCTTTCCCGCCCGCCCCAACCCCCTGCATAGCAGCTGGCAGAGACGGAGGCGAGGAGGGCAGAGGCAGAGGCGGCGGTGGCGGCGAGAGATAAGGAGGTGGAGGCATTGCGGCAGCAGGTGGCAGACATGCAGCGCGACAGCACTTCGCTCAAGGTGCGAGTGTGATGGGGCAGTAGGAGGGGCGAGTGGGCAAGGAGAGATGAGAAGAAGATGAGTGTTCTGGAACGAGGGTGAGACGGACAAGTGCTTGGGCAGGGGCGTTTGAGCATTCCTGGCTGGCAGACAGGGTGTGGAAATGACCGATTTAAGAAATCCATATATTTTTTACCTTTTCACACCCTGCCTGCCCGGGGTGCCAGGTGGCAGCGCTAGAGGCGTCCAACAGGGCAGGGGAGGAGGAGCGGCGGCTGCAGAGGAGAATCAGCGAGTTGGAACAGCAGGTGGCCTCCGCTGCTGCCCGCGCTTCCAAGGCAGAGGAAGCTTCTGAGAAGGAAGGAACCAGGAGAGGGAGCGGTGATGGTGCGGGGAGCAGTGGGAGCAGCACAGCAGTGGCGTCATCCGCCAAGGCGCGGGCTGCTGGGGGTGGCGGTGGGGTTGGGGGGGCAGGGTGGAGCAACCCACTGGAGGGGTTGGGGCTGGAGACGGTGCGGTGGAAGGATAAGCTCAAGGCGGAGAGTGAGGGCGACGTGGAGGTGAGCGAATCATGCAAAGTGATCACAAGTGTTTCTCCCTCCGGTGTCCCTCCGGCCTCCTTCCTCCCCCCTGTGTGATTACATTTGCTAGTCTATTCAGGTTTCCTTCCTCTCTTTCATTAGCCCCCCCCACCCTCCATCTCTTCCCCCCCACCCTCCATCTCTCCCCCCCCCCACCCTCCATCTCTTCCCACTTCCCCCGATCATGCCCCACCATAGGTCGGGTCATCATCCGCCGACAGATTACGGAAGTCTCGCCTCGCGCATTCGAGCCAGAATCTGCCTGCCACGTCAGCAGGCACACTGGCCTCACTGGTTGGCTCGGCCCGCCGCCTCTTCTTTGAGGATGATCGTCTTTCTGCTGCGCCTGGGAGAGTGTCTCGCCGCACCTTCCTTCTAATTGCTTATGTCTTTCTCCTCCACCTCATGGTATGTATGTCTCTCAAGCTGAGCATGCATGCATCTGTTTCCGTTTCCACTTCATCTTTGCATATTGCCCATGAATGGCACACATGGTTGAGTTTGCCTTACAGTACTGCATACGCACATGATTTTTTTTTTTTTTTTTTTTTTTCACAGGTCATGGTCTCCTTCACGCATCATTCAGCCCCGAAGTGTTCTGATGTGATGGATTTACCTGGCTGAATCTTCTAAAGCTAGCAGTAGCAGAAGTTGAGTTGAATTTGTATTCAAATTGATATCCTTGTTTTGTAATATTCTCTTTAAGAGCTGAGTGCTGGTCCCAACGGGCGTTATTTCCGTACCTGCCCTTCGGCTCGGGTCACGAACTGGTCCCATATTTTTGGAGTAATCTCATTGGTTTGCGCTTTTCCGAACCAGCGGAATCAAGGGCTGTCACAAGAAAGCTGAAAGTAATCCTGGTTCGGCGGGTGCCCCTTTCGTCCGCAGCGCGTATCGGTGACCCAGGCTCCGCAGTCCGCACAACACTAATGGTACTCCAACTCCCCGCAAACGCCTGTGGCTTTCCCGCGACTTCCGCACCTACATGCCTTGAATGTTGTAGCGCACTCCCTTTCTTCGATCGTGCCTTCCCCCAACCACACCTCCCTTTCCGACCTATCTACCCACGCATCCTTCCATCATTCGATGCATCTCCCCGCATCTCCCCGCCTCCTCTCGCCCCACCCCGCCGTTCCCCGCCTCGCCCCAATTTGCTCTGTTCGTCACCCCTTCTTCAACAGCCATCTTTTCCTTCTCCCACTCCCCAGCCAAGCTCGCAGTACCACTTGTCCTGCTCATGTCGTCCTACATTCCTGATAGCTCGCCTCTCGGTTGCTAAACTTGTACATCCGCGCCGCGCATTCAGCGCCTTCTATCTAACTTGACGCTCAGACTGTGGCGGTCCCCCTAGCCGACTGTAGCAACGTCGCTACTTTCGACCGTGGTCCATCAGGACCCATAGTGTGCCCATACTGGATTCTAGTTGTACTTTCAGCTTTATCGTGCAAAGCTGCCTCACTTCTTCCGTTTTCACACTGACATATACGCATAATCACTAGATGGTGGACTTAGGGACCTCCTAGTCCCAAACGCCTATACACAAGTGCCAAGCAAAGGGAAAACTACTTTTTAGCCATAGAATATTGATTGCGAGCAACGCGTTGTCAACCGACAGATAGTTTCTTTTCCTCTCCTGGTGTTTGTTAGCAAGCTCGATTCTTCGAAAAGCGGTTTTTCTCGCATTGTAGCCTCTATTTTCCTGGTTTTGAGCAAGAAAGCGCGAGAGGCAGACCTCCACAGCAGCCATGGCGGACCCCCCATCTCACTCCGGGCGACCGCCTCGCACGCCGCGGACCCCGACGCTGCGCAGCATACCGACGTTGCGACGCGGGATGAGCAAGCGAGACTGGGAGCTGGAGCACGACGATAAGGAGAGACGGCGGCGCGAGCGGAAGGAGCAGAAGCTGGAGCGGAAGCTGCACGACCTGGAATCGGAGGATGACGCGGAGCGCAGCGAGGATGAACCCGGTCACCACCACCGCCGCATGCGGCCCAAAGTGCCGATGCTGAAAAAGTTCAAACAGACGATGAAGAAGAAGAAGTACCAGAAACTTCTGGAGAAGCTGCAGGAGATTCAGGACGAGCGGACGGAGGATGAGTTGGCGAAGGTGGGCGAGCTGCGGAAGATTCTGGCGGAGAAGAACCTGCTGCCGCCCAGATTCAACGAGCACCACATGCTCCTCAGGTGAATTCAACAAGGGCCTCGCTGTTCAGGTGGATTGAAGGAGGACACTGCATGTTTCACAGGTGAATTCAAGGAACACACAACTTGCTGCCAGGTGAAATTAACGAACGTTATATTCGGGGAATCCAATGAGCATCACATGCTGCTCAGGTGAATATAACGACCACCGCATGCTGTTCAGGTACTCCAGCAACACACTGCACGTCGCGCCCCTCTTTTTGCCCTCATCCTGCCCTCCCACCGCCCCTCTCTCCGCCTGCTGTCCTTGTGGGGGGGGGGGACGGCAGGTTTCTGAAGGCGCGCAAGTTCGACATGGAGAAGACGACGGAGATGTGGGCCGCCATGCTCAAATGGCGCGACGAGTTCGGCGTCGATGAATGCCTCAAGGTAAGTGCCTTCAAAATGCCTTACAATCACCCATGAATCCCATGCCCGCCATGCTCCCATGCTCCCATCCCATGCCCCCGTGGCCCCACGCCCCCGTGCTCAAATACCCCAACCGCCCCACGTTCTCCACACTCCGTTCCTCCACGTCCCACGGCCCCATCCCCCCATCCCCCACACCCTCCACGTCCCGACGCCAACACACCCCCACGCCCCTCACCCCGCACCACCGCGCGTGGATGCAGTTCGAGTTCCCGGAGCTGGCGGAGGTGAAGCGCGTGTACCCGCACGGGCACCACGGCGTGGACCGCGAGGGCCGCCCCATCTACATCGAACTCATTGGGCGCGTCGACGCCACCAAGGTGCAAGCTCACAGGGGAGAGAGGGGGGATGAAGGAGCGGCTGTTAGCAGGGATGGAGAGAGGGTGGGAAGGCGGCGAGGAGGGGCGCTGTGAGGATTGTGGTACGGCATGTTGACGCTTCTGGGACGGGCGGAGCTGGACTTTCGGCAGAATGGCTGGAGAGGGGCGGCAAAGAGGGCGGCTGGAGAGATGGCTGAAGGAGTTGAAACGTGCAGTAACGGTGGTGGATTGGTGACTTGTGGTGCTGCAGCATACTCATTGCTTGGGTGTATGCATGTGGCGAGAGCGTGGTGGTGTGTTTCGTGGGGCATGCTGCATGCATAGGCGCGGGGCATGGAACATGGTGGCGCATGGGTTGTGATGCATGGGATCTGCAACATGGGACATGGTGCATGGGGCATGTTGCGTGGCCCATGGACATGGGGCATGGGGCATGGTGCATGGGGGTGGTGCATGGGATATGGTTCTTGGGGTATGGAACATGCGCATGTGGCAGCGCATGGGGCATTGTGCGAAACGTTGAATCCTGACATGCCTCCACGTATGTGCTGATGCATGCGTATGGTGGTGCTGCTGCCTCTTGTGTCGCCACTGTTGGTGGAGGCGCTGCTGCTGGTGTCTTGGGTGCTGGTGGTTTGGGCAGGTGCTGGGCATAACAACGATGGAGCGGTTCCTAAAGTACCACGTGAAGGAGTTTGAGCGCACCTTCGCCCTCAAGTTCCCCGCCTGCTCCCTCGCTGCCAAGCGCCACATCGACCAGACCACCTCCATCCTTGACGTCGCTGAAATGGTTCGCCCCCCCACCTATGCTGCTGCATGCCCTGCTGCTGCTGCTGCTGCTGCTGCTGCTTCCCTCGCTGCTGCTGCTTCCGTCACTGCTGCTGCATGTGAAGCCGCCTCCCGTCGCCTCTCACCTTGATCTCTGGAGTCACCTGTATGCAGTGCTGCATTCAGGCGCGCCTCATTCTGCCCCGCATCGTCCCACTCCCACCCCACATGGCACATGGCAGGGTATGAAAAACTTCTCAGCAGATGCCAGGAACTTTCTGGCAATGGTGTCGAAAGTAGATGGCGATAACTACCCCGAGGTATGGTAGACACATGCTTGGGGTGGTGTGTGCATGCATGCATGCGATGGCATCCATACCCCCCCCCCTGCCCTCCCATCCCTCCCCCCATGCCCTTCATCTCCCCACCGCTGCTTCATTCCCTATCCCACTTGCATCTCCACTCACCATGCCCCCTGCCACTGCCATTGCCCATGTCCCTATAACCTGCCGTGCCCGTGCCTCACGCACCTTTGCAGACGCTGAACCGGCTGTTTGTGGTGAATGCGGGGTTTGCCTTCCGGTCGCTGTGGTCGGGCATCAAGGGCATGCTCGACCCTAAAACCGCCTCCAAGATCCAGGTGCGGTTGCCCTCCCTCCCCCCGCCCCGCTGCCACCCTCTGCCTCTGCCAGCCATCCCTCCCCCTGCCCGCTGCCCTGGCGCCCTCACGCTTTCGCTTCTCCCGTTTTTTGCCACCCTTAGTATGCTGCTTTCCTCCCTCCCTTCACCTTGTCGTGTCGTCCACACACCAACCTTGACTTGGCCCGCCCTTCCCCACACACATCCATCATCTTATTTACCTGAGCTGAGCGGACTTCAAAGTGCCTTTTCTACAACACCCCACCCTCCTCCTCATGTGTGTGCATGCGTGTGCGTGTGCTTGTGTGTGCCTATGTGTGCACACATGCAGGTGCTGGGCACGGACTACAAGAAGAAGCTATTTGAAGCCATCGACCCCAGGTGAGGGCGCACGTGGGGCTTGGCACTCTGCTACCCGCTGCAAAGGGCATGCTTTGAAAAGGGGGCCAACTCGGTGGGCAATCCTTTGGGCGTGGGGTGAACCATGATTCGGGTAACCCATGCAAGCTGCACTTGCAAGCAGCCATGGCATGGCCTCCCATGACGCACGCGCATGGCTTCTCCTCCACTCCACACTAAGTACGAAAAGCGCACCATCCTTACCCTCCTTCACGCCTGCCTTTCCCTCACCCCTCCCTCCCCACCCGCCTGCCCGCCCATGCTTGCCAGTCAGCTGCCGGAGTTCTTTGGTGGCACGTGCACGTGTGAGGGTGTGGAGGGCGGGTGTCTGATGTCGGACAAGGGGCCATGGCGCGACGGGGACATCCTCAGAGTCGTGCGGCTGCAGCGCACGGGCACCATCAGCGGGGGCGACAACACCGAGGACGTGCTGCGAGGGGGGCGCATCCGCTGGCAGTCGGGCCAGTTCAAGGTGCGTTCTTGTGGGCCTCTGGGCCTGCTGCCCCTGTGGACCGTTGGACTGCAGTCCATGCCTTTGTGATTGCTCTGTGTGGACGATGTGTCGCTGGTCAGTGGGTTGGTTCAACTCATGCCTCGCTTATTTTCTTTCGTTTTGGGCTTGGGTTGAACCAGGGGGTATTGCTTGTGCTGTGGCCCATCTCCCATTGCCCCTCACCCATTGTGCTGTGCTCCCCCCCTTCCCCAAGCTGGACGCGGAGGACATAGAGGTCACGGGCAGCGAGGTGTCGTTCAAAGAGCTTCAAAAGCCCGCACCCTTCCCCCTGACTTTTCCCTCTCCCCCCCTCTCCCACTCCTCCCCCCTTTCCCCCTCGCTCCCCCAGCTGGATGCGGAGGACATAGGCGACACGGGCAGCGAGGTGTCGGACCTGGACGACCTGGGCACGCCGTCCTTCAGCGGGCTCACCACGCCCAACTTTGACCTGGGTCAACATGATCTGCACAACCTCGACCTCGTTCGTAACACACCCCCTTTGCCCTCATGCTCCTCCGCACACCCATCGTCCATCATGTCAAAGAGGGTTGTGGGTTTGCATGTGCAACACGACCCCCAGGTCTTGCATTCTGCACCTTATGCCTTCCTGTCATACTCTTCCAGTCCGCCTACCTCTCCCTCCTGCCTCTCACTATCCCTGCCTCCCCCCTCCTCACTCCACACACCCCTACCTCACTTCCCCGCCATAACCCCCCTCTCACCCCCCCCTTCATTCCCCCCACCCCCAGCGTCTGAACTCGCTCAACTCGAGTCGTTACTTCAACGACCCCACCACCACCACGCCCTCCTCCGCCGCCTCCGCCGCGCGCCGCTCCGCCAGCATGCAGCGCCGTGCGCCCGCGTCCACGCACCGCGCTGCAGGGCCGTCCGTCTCAGGCTCCGCCACGTCCAGTGACGACGAGCGCGAGGTGTCGCGCACGGGGTCCGTGGCATCAGATGACCGCAGCGGCGAGCTCAGCTCCACAGGCATGAGTGCAGGCGCGGGTAAACGGCTGAGTGTGGGCGTGGGGGAGGTGACATCTGGGGCAGGGAGCGCCAGTGGGCGGGCCAGTGGCACGCCGGGATCAGCAGTGTCGGCATTGAGAGCGGGCGGCAGGGGGAAGCAGGTCTCGACCCCGCCATCCAGAAATTACGGTGGGTGGCTGGTGGCTCTCATTATGCTGGCTTACTTGACTCGCAAGTCCATGCTCGGTTGTGTCTGCCTTGCTGACTGACACTGGTGAACTTGACCCGCCATGCCTCACCCTTCCCTTCACCCTTCACCCCCAACACCCCCGCACGCCCCCCGCTCCGATTCCATCTCTCAGGCACATCAGCATCAGCATCAGGCGGGGCAGCGCTAGCAGGCGTGCCCATGATGGCGCCCTCCTCCTCCTCGGCGCCCGACTCACTGGCAGCAGCCACGGGGCTCGTCTCGCTGCTCATGTCCTTCTTCTCAGCTGTCGCCAACCTGCCGCTCCTCTTCTCCCGCATCGTCATCACCGTCACGCCGCCCGCCCACCGCCTGGAGGGCGGCGGCGGGGCGGCAGGGGGGGCGATGACGCCGCCCGGGGCGCAGGCGATGCTGACACCGGAGCAGCTGCTGCGGCGCGTGCAGGAGCTCGAGAGCCAGGTGCAGCGTCTGCTCGTGCAGAGGGGCGGGGCTGCGGGGGCTGAGCCTGAGAGAGCCGTGGGGCAGCCGGGCGCGAGCCAGGTAGCAAGGCTGCTACACGCGCTTGGGCCTGGTAGAGGCGATTGGGTGGTGGGGGCGGATGAATGGCTCGTCTATTCAAATAACACCAAATGCATAGATCATATTTTCTTGTGCACATACGTCGCTGCCTTGGCCTTTTTTTATGCTGCCTCTGCTGCCAAGCTCTTTGTAGCAGGCTCAAATGATGGCCCAACACCCTGCCTCCCCGCATTTCCTATGCCCCTCCTCCCCACCTCCCAACCCACTCTCCCTCCCTCCCCTCGTCCGTCCTGTGCAGGTGGAGAAGCTGGCATCGGGTCCGTCCACGCCCGCCCTGGCCCCGCGCCCAGAGCCCCCCCCGTCGGACTGGCCGCAGCCGGCAGTGGAGCGCGTCACAGCCCTGGAGTCAGAACTCGCCACCACCAAGAAGGTGCGCAGAGGGGGGAGGGGGGAGGGGGAGTGGTGGGTGAGGGTGGATGGTGTGGTTGTAAGGGGATTGGCGAGAGAGTGGGCAATGGGTTGGTTCAATGTGGTTCAAAGTTCAGCTGGCTGTGTGCACGCGCCTGCTATGCTGAAGGGGTGATGTCATCACCTTGCCGCTTCCCCCTCTGCCTGCCCCACCTCTGCCTGCCCCCTCCCTCCCTCGCTGGGTGCAGATGCTGAAGGAGCTACTGGACAGCCAGGAGCAGCTGAGAGTGCTCATTGAACAGCTGCAACTACGCAAGGTGCCTGCCCTGCCCACCCTGTTTTGTTCGATGCATATACTTATCCACACATCCGCAATTATGCAATTATGCACCACGCCTCCGTGCTGTCATGTGCATGCTACACTAACACGCGTCCTCATCTTACTCCGCTGTTTTTTTTCCTCGTGCTTCGTGGGTCTGCCACATCTCTCCCTTCTGTGCTTGGGTTACCAGCAACGGAGATTCGGCGGGTGTTTTGGTTGAATGGTGAAGCAACACGCCCAGGAGTTGCTTGTTTCTTTCCAAAACTTGGTGGTTTTGGAGTCTTAATAAAAGCTGATGCCTATGTACAACTCAAAAGGGTGTGCTGTGAAATGTGTTAATGAAGTATCATGCATATGTTTTCTATATGACGCGTCTTTTCTCGCATTTTGTACGATTGTACACGTACGGTATACATATTTCTCTGCTACAGTGAGAAGGTGCTGGCGCAGGTGAACTTTCAAGCAGGTCCCATGTTCGGGCAGGTGGGTCTTGTGTTGCGCCAACTCCCGCTCCGCGCATTCGCGCTTGTCGCACTGCTGTCCGTTCGCCGTCGCTCCCCCTCCTCCCGTTCTTCCGCCGAGTCCCCCCGCAATTCACCTCCACCAATTCGCCCCTCCCGTCGCTTGCCAGTTGATTGATTGTTTGTGCCATCAATTCGCGCCATTCATCTCCAGCCCTTCCATAACTGTCATAGCTAACTCGCATCGCATCCCCTCTCCACTCCCCAACGATTGTTCATGCAGCGCCTAGATTTTGCACTCCGCCTCAAAATCAGCGTATAGTGTACTTTCAGCGACGCGCGTTGCGTCCATCTTCCCCGGGGCCCGCGGCACCCCTTCCGACAACTCTTTGAATCCCGATCGCCATGGTTCCATCGCTCGGCGCGTTTCAATCAGTCGCATTGGCGACGATCGTTCTTGTCGCCAGCCATGCCGCCGTCGCACACGCCCAGTTGAGTCGCGAGAAAGCCGCTCGCGCTCTCATTAATTCAGATTGTGTATTCGGTGTGAACAGCTTCTTTTCTTTTCAGATTTACGATCGAGTCGACGACAATCACCATCGCCATGCCACCAATCCTTCTCTCCCCTTGCACCGCGTGACCCTCTCCGCACTCATCAACGTGTCCCTCTCTCCCGCCGCTTCCGCGCGCGCGCATTCCCTCCCCCCCACCCCGGCAGGTGGGGATGGGCGCAGGGCGCGGGGGAGACGCAGCTGCGCGCGGAGTACGAGAGTCAGCTTTTCGACGGCGTGGTGACGGTGCTGGTCACCACCGACGAGGTCAAGCTGCTGGTGAGCCGCCGAGGTCAAACTGCTGGTGAGCCGACGAGGTCAAACTGCTGGTGAGCCGACGAGGTCAAACTGCTGGTGAGCCGACGAGGTCAAACTGCTGGTGAGCCGACGAGGTCAAACTGCTGGTGAGCCGACGAGGTCAAACTGCTGGTGAGCCGACGAGGTCAAACTGCTGGTGAGCCGACGAGGTCAAACTGCTGGTGAGCCGACGAGGTCAAACTGCTGGTGAGCCGACGAGGTCAAACTGCTGGTGAGCCGACGAGGTCAAACTGCTGGTGAGCCGACGAGGTCAAACTGCTGGTGAGCCGACGAGGTCAAACTGCTGGTGAGCCGACGAGGTCAAACTGCTGGTGAGCCGACGAGGTCAAACTGCTGGTGAGCCGCCAGTCAAGCCGCTGGTGCGTTGGACGTACCCGTGTGCGCACAGCTTGTGCGCGCACATGCGCGGACATTTGTGCGGATAAGGAATAGGCACAGTTGTGTGCTGTCCCCTCGAACATCCCGATTGCGCCTCAATTGCGCGCATCGCCTCAAATGCCATTGTCAGTCGTCTCTAACCGCGGCATGTGATGTGGCTGCCTGGGCATGATGCATGGCGCATGGTGCATGGCGCATGGTGCATGGCGCATGGGGCATGACGCATGGTGCATGGGGCATGGCACATGGTGCATGGTGCGTGGGGCATGGCACATGGCGCATGGTGCGTGGGGCATGGCACATGGGGCATGGTGCGTGGAGCGGGCAGGTGCCAACACCGGACGAGCTGAGGAAGCCCAACCCCACCTTCGACTACGCGCCCTACCGCGAGCGCTTCCCCCTGCCACAGGGTGAGTACTGATAATCGCAGCTCCCATGCTCTCTCCCCCCCATGCTCTCTCCCCCCATGCGCTTCCCCCCCATGCTCTTCCCCCCCATGCTCTACCCCCCATGTTCTTCTCCCCCATGCTCTCCCCCCCATGCTCTTCCCCCCCATGCTTTCCCCCCCGTGCTCTCCCCCCCCATGCTCTCTCCCCCCCCATGCTCTCCTCCCCCATGCTGTCACCCTCCATTCCTATCCCCTGAAATTCACACGGCAACCTCTTTCCCCATCTGTCCCCCCGGCCCCTTGGTCCCCCACCAGGCTCAGCGCGCTTCACAGCCATCAACCACGTGGACGTCTTCTACGACCCGCTGGGCTGCCTGCCGCTGGGCGACCTTGCCGCCACGCCCCTCGCCGCCTCCACCGCTCTGCAACGCATCCCACCGGGGCTGCAGCACATCTGCCACTCGTGCCTCTTCTTCTTCACATTCTCCTTCCTCACTCCGCGCGATGCCGACGCCGTGGGAGCGGGGTGCCAGCGCATGTCGGACAAGTACAGTGTGTGCGCGCCCGACAGCATCCCTGTCGCGTTTGGAGCGGCGCCGGCGGGTATTCCCGAGGTGCAGAGGGCGTCGGGGTTTCTCTTTCCCGACTCGGAGCTCGCCGAGGAAGACACCTCCTCCAAGCTGCGCGAGCCCTCCCGCTCCCTCGCCCAGATGTGAGCCGCACTGCCCTCTCGCATTCCCTCTCGACCCCTCTTCATTCCTCCTCACCCCGCGGCATCGCTCCCACCGCTTCCCATTCCCCTCGTCCTCGCTCCCTCGCCTCTCATCACCCCCCCTCACTCCGTACCTCCCAACACGCCCCCGTCCTCTCCCCCTCTCTCCACGTCCATCAGAGCGCTACCGGGGGTGGGGGCGTTGGTGACGTTCAACACGACGCCGCAGTGGGACGACGCGCTGCAGGTGTGGCAGCCCAAGTACTACCTCGCCACCAACGCCTCCAAGGTGCGCACCGCTTGCCGCCACGTGGGGCAAGCAGGTGTGGGAAGGGCAAAGGGGTGTAAGGGGGCATGTCGGAAGGGATGAGAGGGGATGAGAGGACATGAGGGGGCGTTGGTTCATCCATCATCAAACCTCTATACATCCACACTGCCATCGACCTCCCTCTCAGTTGATCCTCTCCCTCCACCCTTTCCCCCCTTCGCCCTGCCCATGCCCCGGACCCCCCTTTTCCCCCACATTGCGGCTGTGCCCTGCGCTCATCCCAGGTGGTGGGCGTGGGGCAGGCGGTGACGACAACACTAATCAACGAGGCCTACGTGGCGTATGACACCAAGCGCACCACCTACGACGCCTACACGCACGCCCTCGTCTCCCCCGCGTCAGCGAATGCCACGTATGGCGCGCTGGGCGTGGCGGGCGCCTTCCCCAAGGACCTCTCCTTTGCCCTCGCCTCGCCCCGCCAAGGCACCTTCCAAGTCGTCGCCTCTGGCTTCTCCCAGGTGGATGGGGGGGGGAGGGAGAGGGGGGGGGGACGGAGAGAAGGGGAGGGGGTGGGAGGGGGCAGGGGCATGGGGCATGGGGCAGGCGGGGTGGGGGGGAATGGGCAGGAAGTGGATGGGAGGAAGAATGGGGGTGGTTGTTTATGGGGAGGTGGATTGTTGAGGTTAAAGCTTTAGTATACATTTGACAGAAGGGGTTCAAAAACTTTTGAAATTTGAAACTTTGCCCGTGAGACCGTGAGGCGACTCCCTAAACCCAAGACATGGATGACAAATGTATATTTCAGCTTTAAAGGGAAGGGAGGAAGCCATCCATGTGTGTCTTCAATAAGCCCGCTGCGAGCGAGGAAATGGAGGGTGGACTCAGTGTTGTCTTCCCTGTACGCTCTTTTTCCATCTTCCCATGCCTCTGTGCACTTCAGGTGACACCCAAGTCAGCGCCTCTCCATGCAGCCGTCTCCCTCTCCCTACCTCTGGCAATCATAGCTGCTGCTCTTGCTCTTCTCCTCTGATGTATTGCTTTGAATGTTCCTTGATATCCTTTTTCCTCGTAGTGGTGTTGCTTGGTGCAACGAGGTCTAGTGGGTGGGTAGCTGAACGTCAGCTACTGGGGTATTGTTTCTCGGGTGGTTGTTGGGTAATACTGTTAGCCACTCAGCTCGTACTATCACCTAGGGTAATGTATGACCTGTAAAAGGACAGTCCAGTTCAATGATACTACGGTACTGGTCCTTACTGGTGGAGAAATACCGGTAAAAACAACAGCATGGGCATGTGCAATGCAGTAGCCGTAAATTGAATTGCTCCCGGCTTCGGAGCCTCACATTACGGCGCGCGGTGTTGCTTCAGCCGGCGCAACGAATTGTCGTTCGTAGTGCAATGCTTTCTTGGGGCTGCATGTCTGCCCTGCCTTTCACCCGACCCTTCCATCCCTCGTCCTCACAGCATCGCACAGCGCGTCGCGGAGTCCTAAGACGTTGACAATCTTGCGGATCGTAGGTTTAAAAACGCGCGGAGAGCATGGCGGCGGTTGCTTGGTTCATGCTGAGTGGCCGTGGCGCGGTGAGACGGCGAGATGCCGCGCTCTGCCAGCACAGAAGCGACTGCGAAGCGCTTATAAGCGGAAGAACGAATGAGTGCTGTCGAGCCCCGGCTCCGCTCAACCGCTTACCGTCCCGTGCAAACAGCGTCGTGCATCCACCCAAGGCATCATTGTTTTCGTTTCCCTTGAGATCAGGGGCGTTCCGAGTCGCTGACCCGTATGCACGACATCAGCCCGCAAGATCGCGCTACGCGGAGGTGCTTTCGCGGGCGGAAGCCGGGTACGTTGGGAGTGCGGGTTCGGACGGGAGGGGAAGCGAGCCACGAGTGTGCGAGCACTTGCTTTAGCGTGGGTCGCGAAGCAGGGTCTATCACAAGCATTTCGCGGATTAGTCGCTTGGCGTCGCCAGACAGCATGATCGCACGCACGGTGAGGGGGAACCGCACCCGGGCGGCGCGAATTTGTTGCAGCGTGTCGTGGTTGGAGCGCCCTAGGAATGGCTGCCGGCCGGTAAGCAGCGAGTAGAGCAGCACGCCCAGACTCCACACCTCCAGCGCGCCCAGCGCCACCTCGTCCACCGCCAGCGCGGGGGCCGCCGGTGGGGCAAACCGGGAAACCGACGTCGGCGCGAAGAGTGCAGCGCCCGTGGGGATGGGAGGGTGAACGGCGGGGGCGCCCGTGTCGCTACACGGCGGTGAGGGCAACGCGGGAAGCATTTCGGGGGCGAAGAAGCAGAGAGGGCGACAGCACGGCTCGTTACACGATCCGAACAGCAGACTCGTCGATTTCACGCTGCCGTCTCCCCGCCCGCTCCGATTCCGACTCAAGCCGCATCCCCGCGCGCCCCCGGGCGTCCCCGTGTTGGTTGCGGCGGCCCTGGTGGCGACGATGGTGTTGACGAGGCTGCGGAAGATGAGGCGCGCGTCGCACTCGGGGATCGGCCCGGCGACGCAATCGGGAAGCATGGGACTCTGCGCCGTCCAATCCGCAGCCGAGGAGGATGCATTGCTGTAGCTGCTACAGCTGGTGCTGGTGCTGCTGCAGCTGCGGACAGAGCTCGAGCGCGAGTAGCACGAGGTGGAGGGCGCTGAGGAGTGGTGCGATGGGCACGGGGATCCGCGCGGAGAGGTTGCCGCGGATGGACCGGAGGGGTTTGCGGGGCGCCTCGGAGAAAATGCTGGTCGAAAGGGGTCTCGCTCTGCCATGGCTGACAGCTGCGTCGAGCTTGCTTCACACAAACAGCAGCTGCGTTGGGGGGGTGGATGAAGGAAACAGTGCTTGTGGCGTGCCTCGCCTTCTCCGACCACGGGATCGTGCTGGCTGACCAGAAACTACTTATGGTGGTGGATGCGACTTTTGGGGCCAAGAGGAAAGCGTGCCCCAGTGTATGAGAGCTCCGAGCAGGTCGCGGCGCGGGCCATGCTGGCGTAACGGATGGCTTGGCATGGCGTGGCGATGGCTGGCTGGTGACAACACAATCAACTGAGGCCAAGTGTCGAGTTTATAGGCGAGACAAGAATTTGGGGGAAGAGCAGACATGTGTACGGTTTCGGAATTCGAATGTAACCGCAGGGCTTGATTGCCATGCCCGCCCCTCTATCCAAGTGTACACGCAGCTTGGTTTTTTTGCTGTAGTTTGAGGATGTTTTTACTTGAAAATATATAAGAAAACCTGCCATTCCAAAAGAAATGAGATTGCTGAAACGCAAAGGGCCCGGCATGCGAAAGACGACGGGCACATCAGACATTCCAAACCACCAGAGGACGTTGTCTTGCCCGCTGTCTTAAAAAATAACTGTATTTCTGCCACCACAACATGGATCTCTGGTCTGGCTGGACAGGGGTTCCCTGAATTCACCAGCTTGCTTGGTGCTTGCTCGCGTTTTGCGGTGACCGAGGGTCACCGCAGTTTCCACAAGACGAAAGGACAAAGATTGGAGCATCAAATGAGATTTGCGTGAGTGTCGCATCGCAATTGGTGTGGAAATTCTCCGATATTAAGATTCCCGAACTTGTCTCGCGCGGCATTCAGTGTATGTTCTTCCAAAACCATCTGTAAACTTGTTTTGCGGTGTGCATAGGACCTGGCTCATATAGCCTGGAAAATATACAATCCTGCACTCATGAAAAGCAAATTACTCTCGTTTTGTTTTACGAACAGAGGAAAACAGGTAGCGTCTTGTGTTGAATGAATCTAGTAACCGTTAATAAAACGACGTACAGCAGCACTGTTCTTCCGTGTTGTGCGCTTGCTCAGGGATGCTTTAACGGGGATTTGTCGATTTTTCCTTGCCGCCATAGGCCTTGGCGCCTTGTCAGGCGGTTCACTTCGCTTGGAGGATTCGCGTAAGCTAACCAATAGAAGGTCGTTGCGAGTTCGTTGACCCTCACGAACCAGATCGCATAAACCACATCATCGAAGCGCGCCCGAAATGTTTCGCAAATTTCCCGTCCACCCCGCCAAACCTAAGCTGGTCCTGCTTCCGTTCCATACAGTATCATGAATTCGTGTGCTTCGAATTCGCCCCTCCCAGACTCGTTGGCGGTTGTCCTTGTTCTGTGTCAATCATGAGTGGAGCCTTGGGATTCAGTTCTCCAAGTGAACGCTTTTGCATCATCGAGACTCCACACGGGCATTACGCGCAACGACTGCAACCTTCGGGATTAATGTAGACTGAACATTGAGGAATACGGATATGCTGCGGAATAAACTTATCAATTCAATCTGCTGAGCCATGGCGACCACCCTATTTGCCCAGCTCAGCCGTATAGACGCGCATACTTAGCTAGTGCTAGTAGCTAGAGTTCACCAGCACTTCTGTACCACCCCTTCTAGTCTCGTTTTCCTCGCCATCTTTAACATCCTCTGTTTCGGTTTCATCAGCGCCCCCTTTCTGTTTCGGTTCCAGTAGCGCCGTCCTGCCACTCGAACGGGCGCCTTGATGGCTGCTGGGCGCTTAGCGCTTCGACCCAACGCTCGACGCCGCGTACCGCGTCGGCCCAAAGTCCCGCGCAGCCGCCTTCGTAAAGAGTCGGAGAGCTTTGAAGGACGGTCGGATTGGGCGGAGAGCGAGGAGGAAGAGGAGCAAGAGGGCACAGGGGAGGAAAATCCAGTATGGGCGGAAGCAGAAGAGACGACGGGAGGTGGCGGTGGCGGAAAGAGTGATCGAGAGGACGGTGCCGACAGCGGCGAAGAGGGCAGTGTGGCGTCGCAATCGACATACCTCATGCTCAACCCATTCGCCGTGCGCGAGGAGGTAAGGCGACTGGGCCGGCGGAGGGGCCAGCGGAGCACCTCAGGCACAGCGGAAGATAGACTTGCGCCCGTCATTTTTTTTGTTTTTCAGAACCCTACTGCCCACGCCCACGCGACCACGTTCTCTCCCGTGCGTTTCCCCGGCCCGCAGGTACAGCCCGTTCTGGAGGCCGCCGTGGCGCTGGGGCTGGACTTGGCTGACGGGGCGGAGAGCGGCGGGGCGGGCGGAGAGGGCGGGGAGGTGGCGGCGGCGGAGTTCTACTCGGCGGTGGACCGCGTGAGGGACGCGGTGGGCGCCATGGAGGCGGAGATCGAGCGCAGCCGACAGCTTCTCATGTCAGCCATGGAGGTCCTTGCGGCCCCTTTCGACAAGCACGTTGGAGCAGTCGAGTGCGTCTTGCCGCCTCACGTCCCCTCGTTCCCCGCTCATTCGCCAACAGCACCCCTCTCGCACACAATCCCTCTGCTCTGCAACACTCGCTTGCCCCTTGCTCACCTTTTCAAAACTCCCATTTCCCATCTCCCCTCTCCCCGCCAACCGCTCCCCTCCCCCTTTCGAATCCGTTGCTCCTGCCAACACCCCAGTGCACTGGAATGCTTCCCCCCCACGGCCGCCACCTCCCCCTCCGCGCGTGGCGGACTGCCGCCCCTCCCCGAGCTGCGCTGTCCCCCCTCACCCTCCTCCGCCTACGCGCTCTCCGGCTGCGAGGGCTCGGCGCGCTGGGGGGAGCGTGCGGCGGGGAGCGAGATGGTGGCGCGGCTGCAGGCGATGGCGAAGCGGCTGTTCGAGAACGGCGAGCGGCACACGCTGTTCCACACGTACAAGTGAGCGCCCTCGCCTCTCCCCTCGCTGTTCCACACGTACAAGTGAGCGCCCTCGCCTCTCCCCTCGCTGTTCCACACGTACAAGTGAGCGCCCTCTCCTCTCCCCTCGCTGTTCCACACGTACAAGTGAGCGCCCTCTCCTCTCCCCTTGCTGTTCCACACGTACAAGTGAGCCCCCTCTCCTCTCCCCTCGCTGTTCCACACGTACAAGTGAGCGCCCTCGCCTCTCCCCTCGCTGCTCCACACGTACAAGTGAGCGCCCTCTCCTCTCCCCTCACTGTTCCACACGTACAAGTGAGCGCCCTCTCCTCTCCCCTCGCTGTTCCACACGTACAAGTGAGCGCCCTCTCCTCTCCCCTCGCTGTTCCACACGTACAAGTGAGCGCCCTCTCCTCTCCCCTCGCTGTTCCACACGTACAAGTGAGCGCCCTCTCCTCTCCCCTCGCTGTTCCACACGTACAAGTGAGCGCCCTCTCCTCTCCCCTCGCTGTTCCACACGTACAAGTGAGCGCCCTCTCCTCTCCCCTCGCTGTTCCACACGTACAAGTGAGCGCCCTCTCCTCTCCCCTCGCTGCTCCACACGTACAAGTGAGCGCCCTCTCCTCTCCCCTCGCTGTTCCACACGTACAAGTGAGCGCCCTCTCCTCTCCCCTCGCTGCTCCACACGTACAAGTGAGCGCCCTCTCCTCTCCCCTCGCTGTTCCACACGTACAAGTGAGCGCCCTCTCCTCTCCCCTCGCTGTTCCACACGTACAAGTGAGCGCCCTCTCCTCTCCCCTCGCTGTTCCACACGTACAAGTGAGCGCCCTCTCCTCTCCCCTCGCTGTTCCACACGTACAAGTGAGCGCCCTCTCCTCTCCCCTCGCTGCTCCACACGTACAAGTGAGCCGCCTCTCCTCTCCCCTCGCTGCCCCCCAATCCCTTCACGCGTCTACTCGTCTGCACGTCCCAGCGCGCCCCTGAACCCAGCGCGCCCCTGAACCCAGCGCGCCCCTGAACCCAGCGCGCCCCTGAACCCTGCGCGCCCCTGAACCCAGCGCGCCCCTGAACCCAGCGCGCCCCTGAACCCAGCGCGCCCCTGAACCCAACGCGCCCCTGAACCCTGCGCGCCCCTGAACCCTGCGCGCAGCTGATCCGTGGTCAGAGCTCGCCACGCGCGCTTGTGCGCGGCCTCACTCGCACTCATCGCCTTGCCTCTGCCCCGCGTTCTCCGCTCATGCCACCCATTCACCACCAGGCGACGGCGGGGCGCCGTGGTGCGCGCAGCGCTGGCGGCAGCGGGAGTGGGAGTGGAGGAGCGGGAGGGGGCGGTCCAAGCGGAGTGGTCGTGGGAGGAGGCGGGGCAGCGGCTGAGGGAGTGGCGCGCGCACCTCCGATTTGGAGTACGTTCCTCACTCGCTCTCGCTGGCTCACCTTCCACGCGCCTTTCCCGCATTGCCCATTGCAGAGGTGACTTTTGAGTCGACTCAAAACTCACCTTCCACGCGCCTTGCCTTGCCCGCATTGCCCATTGCATGGTGCTGTCTGCCCTCACCTGCCCGTCGTCCCCCCCCCTCTCTTCCTCCCTGCTCCCACCCTTGCTCCATTTCCCTCGCCCCTGAACCCCCCCCTCCGCCCTTCCCCCTTCCCCCTTTCCCCCTTTCCCCCGCACCCCCCGCAGCTGGCGCTGTGCTTGGCGGAGCAGCGGCTGAGCGAGGCGGTGCTGGGCGGCATGGGGCATCTGCGGCAGGAGTGCGTGGACGACCTCCTCGCGCCCTCCTTCGCCGCGCTGCTCGCCCTGCCAACCCGCCTCGCCGCCTCGCCCCCCTCGCTGCACGCGCTGCTCCACGCGCTCTCCACCTTCCACGCGCTCAGGGACGGCTACCCGCAGGTACGGAGACTTGGGGGTTGTGGGCTGGACAGGTGAGACAGCCAGTGAGAGGCTCTAACGGGCAGAGGGTCCCCCCAGCGGCGCTGCGGGGGAGGCGCGGAAGACCTGTTGAATTTGCTCCAATGCCCACGCGAGCAACCGACATACATGAAGGCGTTGGCTCCGTTATCCCAGCACAAGAAAGACGGCCGTGGACTCTCTTCGTCTGTGCTTCCTTGCCCCAAGCCTTCTCTTCTCCCCTCCACCCACTCTTCTGCGCTCCCCCTCCCCCCCTCCCCCTGGCGCGCAGGTGGCGGAGCTGTACCCGCGGCGCACGCAGAGGCAGCGGCGGCAGTACCTGGAGGTGCTGGCGCGCGTGGCGGGCTTGGCGAGGAGCGCCTTCCTCGCCACTGAGACCGCCTGGTCCCACCCCTCCCTGCTCGCGCTGCTGCTGGACGGGCAAGCTTCGGGGCAGGGCAAGGGGCAGGCCACGGGACAGGGGCAGGAGGAGGGAGGGACGCAGGCAGGGAGTGAGAGGGGCGAGGAGAAGGAAGGACCGGTGGTGATAACGGCGCTGACGCAAGCGGATGCAGGCGATGGTGGCTCTCAGCAAGGGGGTGCAGCTGAGGCTGAGAAGGTGGAGGCGGAGGGAGGCGAGGGCGGTGGTGGGAGTGGAGAGGGCACGGCGGACACGGCTGTGGCAGCAGCAGGTGGCGACACCGCTGGGCAAGCAGGCATGGGCGTGGGGCAGCGCAAGGGACGCAGTCTCTTGCTGCGGTATGCACCTCAAACATGCTGCCTGCGTTGCGTCCCTGCCCTCCCTACCTGCCTTTCATCCCTACCCTCCGTGCCTGTGCTCTGTGCCTGCCAGCTTCCGTGCTTGCCTTCCACGCATGCCCTTCATGTCTGCTCTCTTTGTTATCGCTTGGAGCGTATGCATTCTCGGGAGGAAGCACCGTCTGCAAAGTTTCTTCCTGTCCTTGCAAGTTCAAGACCTCGCCCTTCCCATCTCCCTGGTGGCAAACCCTCACCCTGTTTCTCCCTCTGGCCTCGTTCCACCTGCCCCGTCGATTCCACCCGCCCTTTCACTCCGCAGCTTTCTGTCAGTGCGGCCACCGCAGGCGGCACCCCAGGCGGCAGCGACAACAGCGGGGGGGCGAGGGGCGGGAGTGGCGGCATGCTTCCAGCCCATCACGGGCGCCGTGGACCCCGTCACACTGCGCCTCCTCGACACCTTCCACCTCCTCTGCTCCCAGTCAGTCACACCCCCACTCTGCTTTCGCGCTCTCTAATCTCACCCTCCCACCATCTGCATCCCCCCCCAATTCCCCAACTACTATGTCCATTCACGAATCCATGACCTCTCTCGCACCTATGCATGCCAGCCAACCTGTTCCTGGCCTTCCCATCCTCTCATCCTCACACCACACTACACAATACAGCACCGTATAGCACCATAACCTGTCAAAATCCACTTGTTGCCTCCTGCTGCGCCGTCCCATCTCCCCCCCCCCTGGTGTGCCCCACAGCGACCTGCCGTACCGCCGGCTGCTGGAGGAGGTGTTGGACACGCACCCCACCCCGCCGCCCGCTGCCTCCCACGCCTCCTCCCCCTGCGCCTCGCCGCACCCCGCCCTCACCCCGCGTGACCAGCAGCCGCCCACCCCCCACTCCGTGTGCAGCAGCCCCGCCACCAGCTGCTGGAGTGAAGCCTCCTCGCTGCCTCTGCCCGGCCAGCCCGGGGTGGGGGCGGGTGGAGGGGCGGGGAGGCGTGTGCATGCGCGCATGGCGATGGTGATCGCGGGGAGCATCCGCGGGCTGGTGGGGGCGCTGGAGGCGCATGCGGTGGGCAGCCGGGGCGACCTGGCGCTGAGCGAGCTCTTCCTCATGAACAACCTCCACCACATCGCCTCCCGCCTCTCCACGTGCGCTGCAACACTCTGGGGGAGGGGGTAGGAGAGGATGATAGGGGTTGAGAGCAGAGGGTGGGGGAAGGAGAGGCAGGAAAGGGAAAGACGGGAAAAGTGGGAATGTTAAGGGGGGAGGGGTCGTAAGAGATGTTGAGTGCTAGGGGTGCATGTGTGCATGAGCCCATGTGCCCATGTGCCCATGTGCCCATGTGCCCATGTGCCCATGTGCCCATGTGCCCATGTGCCTATGGACCTCCGCCCTTGGCATGAGCAGGTCGAGCGTGGGCAAGCTGCTGGGGCTGGCGGAGGTGGGCGCGCATGCCAAGCACGAGGAGCGGCACCGCGACCGCTTCCTGGAGCTCTCCTTCGCCAGGGTACGACCTGCCTCACTGCACCTCACTGACCAACAATGCGGGACCCACATAGCAGTGCCCATGCTTGTGTTTGTCTCTGTGACCTAACACCAGTATGATATGCTATCGGGTTTGAAGGACAGGTCGCCCTTTCGTGATTTTCGAGATCACCCTATGTAGCACACGTGAGCTTGTTTACTCTTATTCCTGCCTCTCTCCCCCCTCCCACCCCCGGCCAGTTCCACTGCCTGGTCACCAACGACAGACTGCGGAGACCCGACGCCATCCGGCGGTGAGCACCTCGCCTACGCTCTTGCTTCTTCCCTCAGATGGTTGAGCGCCTTTGCAGCTGGTTGTCTGATGTGCCTGTGTTTGCTCTATACGGCAGATTGGTGGAGTTCTGCGCTGTGCTGGGAGATGTGCTAGCCATGCAGCAGACCTGGGTGGTGCCCGACCCCCACAATGCTGCCACGCTGCGCTCTGCCCTGCGCTGGGGCCTGCAGCAGATGCTCCAGGCATTCCTCGCCAAACACAGGTGGAGCCTCCATGTGAATCATGTCTATTTCTATCTCAGCAAAATCTCCTGCCAATACACATGCCACACATACAGTATGAGTTGTTTGACTGCCCCTTGTTTTCATTTCATCGCAGGTCTGTGCTCCTTGCAACAAGTAGCATTTCAGAGATTGACGAAGCATGGCAGCTAATTTCCGAGGTCAACAACAGCCTCCGTGCGCATACATAAATAGTTTGAATGGCGAATGTGATTCGTGATGATGACCCACAAATAAAATTATATGGCTCCAGTTTGATACATGCTTCTGGTGTGAAATGAGATTACATAACGGATGGGATAACAAAGATGAGCGCACCTTGAGGTGTAGATGTATTAAATTAATTTTAGGCTAGGGAGAGCTTGATTCTAACAAATGACGAACGTATGGGCATGTAGATGCCGTGCCCTGTAATCTTGGGGTTTCGGTTCGGACTTTCACACGGCTACTGCTTGCTTGTCTTGTGATCCAAATCGACCTGACAGGGGGGAAAGCGTTGACACTCGAGTTTTGTTGGTCACTTCCCCACGCAACTCTTCTCGATCTCATCTCACATATAGCGTTGTTATTCCTTCTCTCTTGGTGCTTGTGTTCTGGTGGGATTGGTGGTTGTGCTTGACAGCAGAGGTTCTTGTTTGGTCTTAAAACTCCTGGGTGACTCTTAGTGCACGTTATTCTAGCGAGCATGGCAGACACTAAGTTGAAGCTGAAGAGCTCAGACAATGAGATTTTCGAAGTAGACCAGGAGGTAGCTTTGCAGAGCGACACCGTGAAGAATATGATCGAAGATGTCGATGTGTCGTCTGCCAGCGAGCCCATCCCTTTGCCAAACGTCTCTGGGCGAATCCTGGCGAAGGTGATTGAGTACTGCAAGTATCACGTGGATGCGAAGAAGCCTGGTTCCATGGAGAAGCCTGCTGTCACGGACGATGAGGTGAAGGCGTGGGATCAAGAGTTTGTGAAAGTCGATCAAGCTACCCTGTTCGATCTGATATTGGTGCGTATCCATCATCCTGTATTGATGCATCGTCTTTCGTCCGGTAGCCGCAGCCCTCTTTGCGGACATATTTATGTACGTCTTCGTACTCACTGCGTCAGCCCCTTCGTGATTCATTATCAATTGTCAGGCTGCAAATTATTTGCACATCAAAGATCTGCTGGAGCTTACGTGCCAGACTGTTGCCGACATGATTCGAGGAAAATCGCCAGAGGAAATCCGCAGGACATTCAACATAAAGAACGACTTTACTCCTGAGGAAGAAGAAGAAGTTCGCCGCGAGAACCAATGGGCGTTCGAATGATTGACCGGCTTTTGCCCGGGCCAGCAAGGTGCAGTTTGAGAATGCTTTTGGGGCTAAGTCTGTCTTATCCATGCGTACTTAATTAGCCTCCTTTTTTTTTGTTGCATTGCAGGTTTACAATGGAACCCGAACTTGTGCATACTAACGTGGCATGACCATTTGTGAAAATCAGAAGAGTTGGTCAGGGCTCTTGTTATCAGACTAATTTGGTCTGATGGTCTGATTTTCAGACTTACTTTTTTTTTGGATTCATCTGATTTGGCAAGCAGGATCAGACAAAACCTTGTCTAATGCCCGGGGGACCCGTCTGATTAATCAGATGTCCTCAGATCCTAGCAAGAGCCCTGTTGGTCATTGCATGCGCTGCTTAAGAATGAGCCCGTTTTAGATATGAAATATTTCAGAGAGCTTATTTTAGTACGGGAGGTACGTATCAGAATTTCAGTCTGAGATGAATGTCAGGTCAGGTGATAGGTACCAGATGTGGGATGATGCAGAACACCTACTTCTTTATATTTTGGTGAAATGCCTTTGATTTGCCCACTTCAAATTTGGGAGTACCGGTAACCCAAAATTCTCAGCCCGTTCTTCTGTGCCAACCAGGGGTCTTGATCAGGTTCTGATACAGGGCTCGCATCGCAACCATTCCGCAACCATTCCGCAACCCTGGAGGGCTCTGGAGGGCTAGCAACCAGGGTTCTCGTTATCAGACCAATTTGGTCTGATGGTCTGCGTTTAAGACTGGTTTTTTTGTATTCATCTTAATCTGATCAGCAAGATTTGACTTTTAAGTTCGTATGATTTTTTCAGACGTGTAGAATTTTTTATCTGAGGATACAGATAGCGAGTTCGGTTTCGTCTGAAACCGACAACTTGACCCACTAGGCCATAGGCCCAGTTGACCAGAGGACAGGACCACCACACGTACAGCCGATTGCTGCCTTGTAACTGCACGCGCATTCATTACGCGTGTCTTATACAGCTCTGTAACTGCCTTGTGCAGCCTCGCTGGCATGTTCTGCGGCATATGCTGCGAGGCGTTTGTCGTTTGGGTGGCTGTCAGCGCCGACGCCAGCCACAGCCACGACAACGCGCTGTCCCGTTGTGCCAGCGCATTTGCTTTTCGTAAAGGGCGCGCAACACATCACTGTGGTCGTAGTGCCCCCCGCTCCCAACACGCACCGCCTTTCGGTTCTGAGTGCAGTGCACGGTGATGGGGTTTCATGCAGCTGGGTCTGGCTTGAAAACAAGCCTGTTTCTCCTGCTCGTCCTCACCTCTCCCCCAGCCGAGCATGGATCGTTTCCCTCCCAGCGTCTGATTTCCCAGCGTGACGCTTCCCAGCGTTTAGGCTATGGCCGTCACCGCCGGCGGACCGTGCGATGGGGAGCCCGTGCTTTCCGCCCTAGACTTCCTAACGCGGGGCAAGCAGATCGCTTCTGCTGCCCCTCCGATTGCGTCGACCTCTGCTGCGGTACCTTTGCCCAACTCGGAAAATGGCGATCAACACGTGCCAGCAACGACTACCCCAACAACGCTGTTATCCCCTCCGCTCCCTGACGAATGTGCAAATAAGAGCATCCCTCCAGTGTCGGTCGCTACAACCTCTCGCAGTGCTAACCCCGTCTTGCCTGACAGATCTTTGAAGAAGCGGTATAAACAGCGTGTTCTCACCGTCTGCCGTCCGGGCGGTCCGACTCAGCCAGCACCGTCAGTTCTTCCGCGCCCCGCGGAACCAGAACCTGAACCCGCGACTGAAGACTTCGAAGACCCGAAGGGCAAGCAACTGTCGGTTGAGGAGCTTCAGTTGAAGTGCAAGCAGCAGTGGCAGCGGTATTTTCCTTGGCTCCTCATCTCCGAAAACAAGGCAGGCCGCCCGTGCATGCGCTGCAGCGTCTGCATGGTCTTCGGTGACCCGAACTACAAATACGGGCGTAACGGCGATGGCGGCATCGACATCCAGAAGCAGACGATGCGCAAGCATCACCACAGTCTGAAACACGAGGCCGCGGTCTTGAGGAAGGAGGAGCGCGACGGCGTCAAGAAAGTGCAGAAGTCAATTGCTGACTTCCACCGTGGGGACGCTGATGTCAAGCGTATTGCTCGGTTGATGGCTATCGTGCTATTCATTTGCAAGTCTGATGCTCCCATTGTTCTTTTCGTGGCTTTGGTTCAATTCATGGCACAGCAGGGGACACCGGATTTGCCCCTGAAGGAGAACGGGACGTACTATAGCGAGTAAGTGTCCCGTTTTACTCATCTTTTTTTTGTTATTTGTTTAGGAGTCTAACGAGTATCAACCCGTGGTGTCTCAGGTACGGCTTCGCACAACTGGTCGAGACCATGGTGTGCTACCTCAAGTCCCGCCAGCTGAAGCACATCCGCGACAGTCCGTACCTTGGCATCCAGCTAGACGAGAGCACCGATCGACGGCGGGGGAAGCACATGATCGTCTATTTGACGTTCATGCGTGACAACGCACCCGTCACGGAGTTCTTCGCCTTGCTCAGTGTGGAGCAGTGTGACGCCGCGTCACTCACCACAGTGCTCCTGACGCATCTGGAGAGTACCGGCATCGACCTACAGCGCCTCACCGGTATGAGCACTGATGGTGCTTCCGTCATGCTTGGACAGCACAACGGAGTCACCGCGCGCCTGAAAGTCAAGGTTCCTCACCTTGTGTCGTCTCACTGCATCGCGCACAGGTAAGCGTTGTTACTGCGCGTTTCCTGCCTACTTTTTTAAAAAACACCCGTGCTAATGTTACCATCTGCTGTCTTGCAGGGAGGCCTTGGCGGCCAAGGATGCTGCCGCCAAGCATCCTGACTTCAACGTCGTGGACAAGGTGGTCCGCGCCGTGGCTGAGAACCTCGGTCGTTCCTGTGTTAACCACGCCCGGTTTCAAGAGCATCAGGAGGTCATTTGCGAGACCCATCTTGAAGTTCAAGGCATCAAGGACGTCAGATGGTTATCGCGTGGTGACGCCATCCAGCGCCTGGTGAAGGTTTTTCCTGCTGCACTCATGGTGTTGCACGAAACAAACCAGAAGATGTATCAAGTCGTAACGAGCTATAAGTTCCATTTCCTGTTGTTCTTCCTTTCTGACGTCTTGAAGGAGCTCAACCTGCTAAGCTTGAAGTTTCAGCGGCGTCAGGTAAGCAGTTTCCCGAGTTACACGTTGCCGGTTTTTTCATTTACAATCTCTTACTAACCATCCTGCTTGTGCACCCCCGTTTACAGGTTGAGGCAACCCATGTGCTGCCGATGGTGCACAACACGACCTTACTGCTGCGCACACACTACCTCGACTGCGACGACGCGATGTTTGGCCAGGGGGGAGACGCGTTGGGCCCGTTCCTCGACAAGCACGCATCTGGGGAGTTCCGCGAGGTCCTCGTTGCTGGCACTGCTTCCGACGGCACATCGGTCAGCCATCGATACCGACTGCACGAGGAGAAAATCAAGGGGCAGACGAGCGGTGTGGACCACCAAGCGTGTTTAGTGCTGGCGCGCGAGTTCATCACGACCCTGGTCGGCCGGCTCGACTACCGCCTCAAGGACCTGTCAAACCTCGACGGGGCGAAGCTGTTCAAGCAGAGATCCTATCCCAAGAACCAGGCAAAGCGTGAGCGACGGCTAGGCCAATGGCTCCAGTCTCTGCGCAACATGTTCAAGCGGAAGCCAGATGACCCTGACACTATACCAGGTGCGTTAAATGCCGGGAATGAGCTGTATGTTTAGCGTTGTCCCCACATGCTTGTCTAAACACTACATCACCAATTCCAATGTTCCCATGTGCACCCCAACCGCAGGCATCAACTGGGCGAGAGCGCAGCGAGAGCTTGTCACCTTCTCTACCATCCTGGCCACACACCAAGAGGATGTCGGGTGT